GTGGATATTATTTTGTTTAAAGTTTAATTTAAAGGAATCAGTTATCAGTCTTTCATGGATTCGAATTTATTGGCCTCTATAATTAACCGATCTACAACTTATACGATTTTCGATGCATATTTAAAAGGAACGAGATTTGAAGACGAGCTTTATAGAAGCAGACAATATTACAAGTGGAAGGTCATTGCAGATAGTACAGGGCAAAGATGGCTTATCCGCTTGATTTCTTTGCTGGATGTTTGGGAGGTAAAGTTTTGTGTATACACAAATAAAATTACTGATTTTATATATTTTTAAATTAGATATTTTTAAATTTTAATTATGTTTTTCTTTAAGCGTTTTGATATAATTTATATTATTAAAATTATTTACTGTTTTTAAAATTTGTCGTTCGCTTGATAAAAATGTGCAATTAGTACTGGAATCATTCACTTTTCATATGATATTTACGTTATTTAAATAAAAAGATTCACTTGTGTTAATGGAAGTTAAAGTTATTTGTTTTTTATACAGAGTTCGAGAATTAGTTTCAAAGTTCCTGTGGAACACCCTATATAATTTGTAATTGATTTAAAATAATCAATAATAAGAAACAATTATCATATGTTATCATATATTATCATATGACTTGGTTATCACAGATCAAGACTAATACATTTAGAAAATTTTATAATTTCTTTGTTTTATCAAACTGACACAATTAACAATTCTACTAATTTATATTAGTTTATGTTTTAACTTGTTATAACATTAGAACAATAAATTATATCTTTAAAAGAAAGTGTTATAAAATTATTCAATCTTTTTATTGCATCAGGCAAGTTTTAATAAATACAAAATATACAATATAGCAATCCAGATAATATTAATACATAAAAGACGTTAAAGATGTCATAAAAACTTCTTTTAGACATCTCTGAAAGATAGAATAAAGCCAATAGCTGCGTTCAGCAGAGAGAAGTTCAGCTTTGCAATTGTTGTAAAATTCTTGAATATCATTAGTTTATACATTTAAATTCCATGAGGAACTAAGGGCAAGACCAATCATATTGAAGAATTTTACAATAGTTGCAAAGCTGTTTTCTCTGCTGAATGCAGCCAATATTTACGCCATATATACAGAAAAAAATAAGTGAGAAATTTTTGCTGTACCCAAGTAACTTACGAGAAATATAGAAAATATATCCGTCGTGTTGCGTATTGTTCCTGGCTGAATCACCTTAGTGAAAAGTTTAATAACAAATGCAAATTGCTATTAATTTAAATTATTAGTAATTTAAATTGTTAGGAGTGTCTTAATATCTTATATCTTAACATTTGTAATATATGCAACAAATTTTAGAATAAGATATTATCTATTACTTTATATCTTAATATTTGTAATATATGCAACAAATTTTAGAATAAGGTATTATCTATTATTTTATATATGTATATGTATATTTATTATTCTTATTTTCTAATAAAATTTTGTAAAAACACATTTTATAAGTGATTGTGTCATTTTACGTCTTATTTATAAACATTATTTGTAATTTTTTATGAGTAATACGTTTCATTCATAAGTAGCTGTACTCCCATCCCCATGAGATATATAATTTGAATTTCCAATCTTTTTTATAGTAGTAACAGTATAAAGATGTTATTGATATATTTTATTAATATATTTTATTTATTTTAAACATAATAACT